GTAGCCACTGGGCCTTGAAAAAGGTTTCTAACCATACAAGTTACAGTTAAGCATTTAGAAACACTATAGCAGATGGTTCTCCTGTTAAACTACTGCTAATTCACAATTCCCATTAATTCCAGCCATTATTGACTACAACTGGGGAAGGAGTTATAATCCAACATCACTGAAAATTTACACTCATCCCTATAATACAGCATCCAAAACACTGCATATTCCATTCCAGAACTCAAAATAGTTTTTTATATTTTGCTTTTACTTGAAATAGACTATTTTATACTCAAATGCACTTTATTATAACCAAGCAGGAAATGCCCCAGTTTCTCCAGGATTTCCTTTTGCGTTCAAAACAGGAAGAGGGAAATCATGAACACACATGCATTAAAGAAATCAAGTTGAACAGTTCTGTAAATGAGAAACTAATTGCTAAAGTTAATGTCATTTACCCATTAAAACAAATGTTTGAAATTATTTTGTTCCATCTGTTATTGACAGCCAAACTGTAAGAAACACATGGACAACTTTTGTATATATAACTCACTGATTGACAAAAACATTATGAAAAAGCTGTATGAAAAAATAAAACATTTTAAAAAGCAATTTGCTGACTAGGCATTACATAAAATAATGATCCAGAAGACTTCCTTGAAGTATAGCAAGGAAGATTTTGAGATTTTGCCTGTGAATGTTACAAAAACAGTTTGTTCTGTCTTGTGTTTGGGTCTTTTTAAATTCCTATTTAGTTATCTACATTCAAGTCCTTTTGCACATAAATCTTTGACACAACTTTAAACATTTTCTGCAATAGTATTAACATAATGGATTAGTTTATTATCATCAGTAGTAGTATATGCACATATTAGTGCAATATTTTTAAAAATATTTAATTAAATATTTTGTTAAATATTGTTCTGAGGGATTAGCAACATTGACAGTATGTGATATTTTACTGTAGCTTTGTTACTACCACCTTTAAATTAGTTAATTTAAGGCAGAGACCCTGCATTTTAATTTAAAAGGCACTTCTTCCTTGCAGTCCACTTGCAATGTATGTTTGTATTTGGGTGCCTGGTTCAACACATAATAATCTGAAACCTCAGTGAAACAGAAAACCATATTCCAATCCTCTATTTAAAAAATTAGGTAAGTATTTTGATATTGTATGCCAACAATACCTAGCCTACAAGTTGTCCCAGCCCCATTTATGTTATTCCCAGAGTTCCATGTTTATGCTGAAAGAGCTCTGTAGTAAAATGGCAATTATAAGGCACTTTTTTTTTTTGAATGAAGACTTAAAATAGATGTGTTTAGCCTCCCAGAGTGAAAATACTTCCCCGCTTTCCAAAAGCACATAAAAAGGGCAGAAATCTTGTATCTAGCTCTCTACACTATCTGCAGTTCTCCAGGCTACCCCCCCCCCACCAAAAAAGAAAATGTAGTCCCTAAATAGAAAAAGCTTTCCACTTCCACCCTATATTGCAATGCAGTTATCTAGTTGTAAAGCAGTTGTGACAGAGTGTACAATCCTGAAAGAATATATTCACAGAAAATTGACTTCTATAGTAAGCAGCAAGAAACATGTTTTCATAATACTATTCTTTTAATCAGCTATATCTGATCTAAAGAAAGAATAGATACCTTATTCAACTTCTATATATCCTAAGGAAATTAGAAGTTTTTGACACACAAATACAGAGATATAAACAGATGGTGAACAATGGCAACTGCACAATTTTTTCATCATACTGAATGTTTACATGTAAGCATAAAAACTGCTGTTACTACTTTAAATGCCCAAGGGAATGGAGAGGGGGGACTTGGGACTCTTCAGATCTTGCTGGACTACAGTCCTGAACGTACCTGACTACTAACCATACTAGCCAGGCCTGATGGGAACTGGAATTTAAGATAGCTGGAAGTCTGAGTTTTCTGCTCTTCCACTCCATGCATCTGCCACTCCATGTGTCTGATCAAGTGAGCTATAGTTTATAAAAGCTTATGCCTTTTTAATGAACTTGGTTAGTCTAAAAAGGGGCAACCAGACTCCTAATTTCTGCTCCTGTCCTACAACTCCCAATATGTGACAGAATATAGAACACTGAATAAAAACAGTAGCATCCTGCATAGAGCTTTACAGTCATAATAAACACAATATACAATGAAATGGATGGGGAGATGGAAGAAAGGAAGCTAAATACCAATTAATTAAAAATAGAGATATCTAAGAGATAGATTAGACCTTCCTGATGTCTAGTAGCAATGAGTTCCAAAGGGCTCAAAGACATTGATTTAAAAAGTAGGATAAAATACTGCTAGTGATGGAAAATAAAATTGGATTAAATAATAGACAATGAGTGCGAACATTTTAAATAGCAATGTTTAAATGTATTCAACAATTTTAAAATAAATGTTAAGCTGAGACTGCACTCTGATATTCCATTATCTGGAAATGTAATGAGTCTGGCTTCTTAATAGTTGTACAGAAGACTGTACCATGAAACTGAAGTAAACTCACAGATAGTAATTACCTCCTACCTTTATTTTTACTTTATTTTATCACAGAAGGACTAATAAAGATCTGAAATAGCAACTGAAAAAGACAGAATAAGCAATCTACTAGTTTATTAACTAAATGGAATATTATTTCTTAAAGGTTAATGTTTATTGCAAGAAATTACTATTCATACCCACATGCCCTGGAAAACTGGGAAATAAAGAAACTTGGTTGATTTTTTTCCTATCAAAATAGCATTGTAAGTATGCAGTACATTGATAAATTGTACTATATAACACTGCTGTACATTAAAATGTCTTAAGATGACAGTATTTTTTTCTTAGCTTACTAGAGATAGGTAGAAATAAATTCCAATAAGGGAGTGACATTTACTTTTGGATAAGTAAATGAAATATATCACATTAAGAGTTATTATTTATCACACTAAGAGTTATTATTTCATCAAAAAATGACATCCCTACAATTAGATCAAGTTTAAATGAATAATCTACAGTTCTTTTTCATAAGAAAAGCATCAGAATAGAAGATTAGGTACAAATTAGTATTTATAAAGATCTGTACTCTGAATAGAAAACCAATTCTATGAAATAATGCACATTTTCAGTGCCTGGGTTGGGTGGGAGTTTGGAAAAGGTGATGTCTTTGCTCTCAAGTATCCCTTCTACAAAACTGTAGAATACACAACCTTAAGTGTTACACTCATATACTCTGCTATTATGGCTCCCAAGAATACTTTATTTCACTCCCAAATGCTTGGGAAACATTTGCTTCCAATAGGCTTTATCTCCATTCACTATCCATTTCTCTTCATAGGCAGTGTTCTGACAGGCGCACTCAAAATCTGACAGGTCATCTCAAAATTTATGAGTATTTTTCTATGGCTGCTTCATTGCTGTCTTTTATTCATCTGGAAGGCAAGCACCATACTTTGAGTATTCTTATAGGACTGTAAAGAAAGATTAAGCTATCACAGTGCTACAGGTTTACCGTCGTATGTTCACATGGAGTACTAGTACAGATTTTGGGCTACTGACTGTTGCCTTGGTATGTATTGGTATTTTTTTTTTTTCAAGGTAATGGTAAGGCTGCCTTGATTTTTTTTCCAGGCATCAGAGCCATACTTCCATCCATTAATTAAATTTGGCCATGACTCCACAAATTTGGCCATGACTCCACATATCACACAGGTATTATTGAGAGCACTTTCACTAAAAAGATTCTGTCAACACCAATGAATTTTGATCAGAGGTTTCTTATACAAGGTAACAACTTTTACAATTAGCATTAATAACAAGTTTGTGCACCAAAGTAATACATTTCTACATATTGTTGTGTGACAAAAAAAAAAAAAAAAAAAACCAACTTTGGTACAGCTTTGTTCAGATCAGCCAATCTGAGGCTGATGAAAATCACATTCTTGAGAATTGTAACACCTATGCTGAATATGTCAGCAAAACAAACTGAAAACACTAGAATGCAAGCACAAGCCTATCAAAAAATCACCTATTGAAAGGGGAATTCCCTTTACTGCTAGCAGACTGCAATGGTGCTTCCAAGTAAAAATGAATCATGTAACATTTGTAGCAGTGTCACAGTTAAAAGTTATCACAAGTGCAAAAAATGCAGCAGGGCAAGAGATAGGATTAAGCAGTGCAAATGACATAGTGACAAGGAAATTTCAGTCAAGGACACCTCAAGATGTGCTGAGATAATCAGGTTGATGCATCATTAACCTCTAGGAGAGATCTGCAATGAGCTTCTAGATGTATCAAACATACACTATCACTATATTATCAGTAGTTGAGAATGGATTCTTAACACTAAATTCTCTGGGAAGTGAATGGAGAATGAACCCCTAATTAAATCCCAAATCTACAAAGATATGAGTGCTGATTTTCCTCCCAGGTGATAAAGAGTATTAAGCAGTTACGCATATGTCATATGTGCATATTGTATCAAGATTTTTGTTGTATACTGTCTCACAATTTAGCCTTAACATCCCCACTTATTAGCTTATTCAAATAATTCATAGAATCATAGGGTTGGAAGGTAACTTAGAGATCTTGCTCAGATGATTCCAGGCAAACGGTTGTCCAACCTTTGCTTGAAAACTCCAGTGATGCAGTACCCATGACTCCAGGAGATACTTCATCCATTAGCTTTTCTCCTACATTTAGATACTGGAGAACAAATCCCTCTTCACTGTGACAGCTCTTCAAGCATTAGAAAACTGATGTCATGTCTCCTTTTAGCCTTCTCTTATTTAGGCTAAACAAACCCAGTTCTTTAAACTGTTCTTCATAAGATTTAGTCTCCAAGCCTTTCATCATCTTTACCGTTCTTTTCTGCATTCTTTCCTGGCTCATGCTTAATCTGTGGTCTACTAGGACACCCAGATCTTTTTCACAAGTACTACTGCTGAGCCAGGTACTGCCTATCTTCTATCTCTGCATCTGGTTTTTCTCACCTAAGTGCAGAACCTTACTTTTTTTTTTTTTTTTTGCCATTGAACGGTATTTTGGATAAAGCCCAATGTTCAAGCATATCAAAACTGTCAAACCCTGAGCATGTCTTCTGAGGTGTTAGCAATCTCCTCCTATCTTTGTGCCATTTGCAAATTTGGTGAGTCTCCCTTCCATCCTCTTATCTGAGTCATTTACAAAAATGTTGAAGAGTACTGGGCCCAAGACAGAACACTGAGGTACCCCACTATATACTTGCCTCTATGTAGATATAGTTCATAATTTAACTTCTCTGAGATACAAGTACACAGTTTATAGCTTTAGCAGTCAATCTTCTAATGACAAATAGCAATAGAGTTTGACCCATTCTTGACTATACAGTAGGTGGCTCTGTTTTAATGTACAATTTTTAACACGTCAGCTACTGATAACAGTCAGTCAGTTATCTAGCTCACTTGTAAGAATCAACAGAGTGCACTAGATATATTTTTGTCTTACGACAGAAGAATGATCTCCCCTTTCCTGAAAAGCATATTATCTTCCTGGAGTGGCAGTCTTACTTCTGCTCAAAGATCTGTAATTCTCATGAATCTCACTCTTCATTTACAGTTCTACAGATCCTTCATACAATAAGATAGCAAAACGGCTGCTACAGGCAAAAGATTTTTCATGTAGCAAAAAAGGCATAAAATGCACATTTATTTATTACTGCTGCCTTCTATTCCTGAGCAGGAAGAAAAGGTACTAGCAGAATTTTGCTATCTCAGGTTAATATGATTTTTTTCTTTTTGAAAACAGAAGCACCATTTGCTGTTCCACCTTAGGGAGCCAAATAATTTAAACCAAACTTGGTTATCGCAATTACATAAGCAAACAATCAAGATTGGACAATCGGCTATGATGTTCCATCTGTGCTACGAGGCTGAAAACCTTCTCTTCGGAGACTGGTTAAGTCCAAACGTGTTAAAACTTCACAGCGTACCAAGAGAATATCATCTTTTATGTATGTTCTTTGTTTCAGGGCTTGCAACTGCATAAAAGTCACGTATCCAAAGCCCTTTGGGTTGCGATGGGCCATAGGACGTTGGAAGGCTAGCAATTCAGGCTTAGTATCCATTACTTCTTCGTGATTATGCCTTGGAGATCCTTCTGACTGATCCAAAATTGATAGACGGATGGTGCCTTGGAAAGGCCAAGGCAGATGACTGTCATAGTCTCCTTGCATGGTGTGAACAAAAAGAGAAATGTAGTTAGCACAACGTTGAACACTTGGCAACTGGATATGCAGACGCAAGCAAAGTTTATATCCGGGTTTCCCTGTGTAGAAACCTGGACTGTGGATCACAACAGGCCTTTCTTCTTCCTGGGCTTTCAGATACATACTGAAATTTTCAATTTTCCACAGAAAAATACCATTACACTGTTGGGCTTCAATGTCAGTAATTTTTTCCTCTAGATTTCGGATGGTGCGTTTGAGATCCCCCATCTGGGAGTTTTGTGTCTCCATTTTTGCAATGAGTTCTCTAATTTGGTGATCCTGTCTTACCAAGCGACCTTCCAGTTGCTGAATAGTCTCCTTGAAGTTCTGGACCTCAGGACTACACTCACATGAAGATGGCATGGCTTGAGAGAAGAGTGATGGGTCAAAGGGTAAAGCTCCAGAAAAATTTATGGAAGTTGGAGTAGTAACACTGACACTCCGAAGAGTCTGAGCCATCATCCTCATATGAACCTGAGTAAATTCTTGCATATGGCGTGCCAAATCATTTCTCAGCATCTGCAATTAAATAAAAGTGCATATAACTCTGAATTTCCTTTGAGTAAAATCAAGGGCTGAGTCTTAATGGAGAAAAGAAAAATGCTGCATTAAAAAGGAGTAGCTTTATTGTTTAATGATTAGCTGAAACAAGAAACGAAAAACTGAACAGAACTGAACTGTTAATGCTGTAGGGAGTTCAAATGGTCAGAAGCAGATCAAGGTCTATGAAAATCCTCTAGGTATAAAACAAAATATTTCAGCTACTTAGAAAGTATAGTATCAGTATGACTAAACAGTAATGTAATATTTGAACTATGTCATTACATGCAGTAAGAGGTATTTGTAGAACTCTGTTTTGAAAATCTGGATTTCATGAGAATGTAACCTTTCACATACTAAAAATAACCTTCTAACATTAATGGTTGGGCAAACAGATTTGAAAACATGAAGACTAGAAGCAATATTTTTCTGATTTAAGTAAAGGAAGAACTGCTATTTCCAGCTAATCAATGTATAATTTTCTTCCCTATAAATATTTATTTTTATCTTGAATAATCTTCTCATTATGAAACATTTTCACATGAATGCATGGAGATTACAAAACAGCAGCTTAAGAGAAGAAGCTGAAAAACATTTATGAGAAATTATAAAAATGTATTGATATCTTTTATTTCCATTGTTACAGATCTACATTGATAAAGCACTTTATTTTTTATATACTGGAGTAAAGCAAGGAATATTTTGCTTAATTGTGTAAATAATTTTCTACTGCTATTTTTATTTCTTTTTTCTTAAAAAAAGTCATGGTACTATGATGTTCTACAGAAGTTATTTAACGTTTTAACCCAATTTTCTGGAGCTTGTTAGTTAATTCCCTTTTTAGAATAATCATGAATTTCCATCCAAATATACTACTAAATTGAGACTATCCATGTGATACCTGCTGGACTTGGATGGCCTCAGTTTAATATTTAGGGATTCCAAATGTGGAATCACTACAATATAAAAGTTTTATAACCCAGTGAAATTCTCAAAGATATATCATTTGTAAAATATGGCTTTTGATCAATGTTACTATATATCTTTAACCTTGGAACAGATCAAATCCCAACTGGAAGCCCTCCAGAATGCTTTGTGCTACAATTCCCAGCCACCAATGGCTAGCTGGAATTCTAGTAATTTTGGTTAGAATTTTGGAAGTTGCAGTCTAACGTTATCTGGAAAAGTCCAAGCTGAGGAAAATCATATTAAAGTTACAATGCTAAGCTTGTTCTTCTGAAATAAATATGAGATTTAAATTCTGTATGTGTTATCCAATATTAAGCAGCTCAAGATATTTCACACAGTGACTGGAAAGCCCCCCCCCCCCCCCCGCCCCCCCTCCCATGGAACTATCCCATCCTGCCAATTTTATCTACAATGAATTATTACAAGAGAGGAAATTAATAATTCAGAACAAAAAAACTACCGTATCGATTAAAAAAAAACTAAAAAAAGCTAGCAGATAGTAAACAGAAATCCCACTAGATGAAAGCAAGTTACTTTCATATTAGCTGCTACAGAATTAAGTCATGTACTGATTCTCTGGAAGACAGAATTTAGGTTTTTCACCACCCCTAGAGACTAGATTGAAAAATGGGCTACATTTGGGCAATTTTATATGCTTGATTAAACAAAGAATTGAATGCATGTTTTGCTCACATATGTAATTCTTTTGTTCTTTCTCTACACATGCTCCAGTAAATAAATTCTGATGTTAGTATTTCCTCATTTTGTCTGAACTGTGAAACTATAGATGAATGGAATGGTGTCTTTGGGCAAGTAGGAAATATTTATATAGAAATTCCTACGGCATCATAGCTAATGTTCACCATTTCCCTTTTACTTATTGTGCTTCCTGAAAGAAAATTTTGAGAGTTGGTGAACACTATAGAATACAGGTAGTCCTTGGGTTACGACAGTAATTAGGACCGGAATTTCCATCACTAAGCATGCGGTTGAAAAGTTCAATGTCACGTGATTGCATCGCTTAGGGACAGAAATCCCAGCAGTCCCTGTTGCCATCATTAACAGAATCCCACTGGTTGTTAAGCGAAGACCTACCCTGGTCCAAGCCATTCTGGCTTGGTCTCTCCCAGCTCCAGGCCTTGATAAGGTAAGGGACTGCCTCCTCTTGAACTCCACTCACCCACCTATCTTCATCCCATCTTTGCCCTTTTGGCTGCTCTGCACAGCAACACAGCAGTGGTGCAGTGGGGCTGAAGCAAAGGCCAAAGGCCTTCAGCAGTCTCAGCTGGCTGCTGCCGCCCTTGGGCCTTTATTTCAGCCCCAGCACCATCTTCTTCCTCCTGCTGCTGATGAGGTGCACCTGGCCCTATGCGAGGCAGCTGCTGGCTGTGCCACACCTTCTTCCCAAGGCTGCACACGCCCTTCTCTAAATCACATAATGCTGCTCACTATGCTTCTAGGGCCTTCCAAAAGCTCACAAGGCCGTGTGCACTTGTCCAAATCACACACTGCCTTTTTACAATGATTCTGAGGTGTTCCAAGGCATTGTGAGAAGGCAGCGTGCAATTTGGAGAGGGGCAGGGGCAGCCTTGTCATGAACAGACTTGTCTCAGAAGCATTGCGAGAAATATTGTGAGAAGGCAGTGTGCGATTTGGAGAAGCATGCATTGTCCTCAGGAAAAAGGCCTGGCGCTGCCAGGCTAGGTGTGCCTCAGCAGCAGTGGGAGGATAAAGACAGCAAAAGTCAGCTGGGGGCAGCAAGGCCTGTGGAGCGCAGGGCAGCTGGGTCTTTGCACTGTGGCACTGGGGTAGCTAGCTGCGGGGCTTGAGGTGGCACTCCTTGGCAGTGGTGATGGCATCAGCAATGCTGGCGCTGAAGTAGAGGCCCAGGGCTGGCTGAGACTTCTGAAGGCCCCAGGCCTCTACTTCAGCCCTGGCACCACCATTGCCACCGAAGAGTGTCACTGTACAGGGTGGCCAAAAGGGCAAAGATGGGAGGGAAATAGGTAGGTACAGGGAGTTGAAGTGCCCCTGCAGTCGTACGTGTGGGTGGGCTGCCAAGTGCCTGAATTTTGATCATGTGACCACAGGAGTGCTGCAATGGCTGTAACTTTGGGACTGGGTGTAAGAATCATTTGTTCAGCACCACCATAACTCTGAAAGGTTGTTAAGCGAGGACTGTATAGGGATGTCATGCTAAAATTATCTTAGTAGGATGATTGGGAGAAAATTGGGAAGCTTGCCTCCCAGACACAAAATGTATAGCCATTGTCAGATACAGTTCTAAAACAATAGTATAACATGCTTGTTTTAGGTTTAAGCAGAACAGAAAAATATTAGCTAACTGAAAACTTTCTAGTTTGTATGGTAATTGGAACAAACTTAGAAGTAAAGAAACTATATATGAGAAGCTTGTTCATATCTCTATTTAGTGAGCAGAGATATAATTGTCCAAACTTTTTCATAGCACAGAGGTTCTGAACTATTTCGAGTGCTGTCAATAATGGACACAAACTTTAAATGTTTATGCTTTCTCCACGTGCACACACACATATTAAATTTTTATGACTACAATGATTAGTGCCTTTAAATTTATGAATAATCTGCTTACTAAAATATATCATATTTTAAATATACTGGGTAATACATTATACGTTATGTTAATTTATCAATAAACTGCTTTGAGTACCTTGTTATTAAAACATATAAGCATTAACAAAGTAACAAAAAGGTTTCAAATAAAAGCTCTAAAACAGCTTCCCTAAATTTTCTTTGACTCAGGACTGACCAACTAAACTAAAATTAACTAAGTTAATTTTGATATTGCCTGACAAATATCCTTCTAAGAACAACAAAAATATGAATATATAAAACTATAATTTAAATTACCTTTTCTGGACATCCAAATGCACTATAGGTACATGGTACTGGAGCAGTAGGGCAGTCATTATCATAGTGATTAGGCAGCTAGAAAAAGAAAAAAGGGTGATCTGTAGTTTCCAAAAATCCTACACTAAAAAGTAAATATGTGTCATTTATACCACAACAATAATTATTAAGTATAACTTTATAGTGAGAAAAGTTATTGGAAATTCACAGCAAATATGACATTATTTTTTTAAGCTTACTTTCAGATCATTTTCCAGGCAGCAAATAAAATAACAGATTAAAAAAAACATTGTTAAGACGGTCATCCTATGTCCATTAGCTAGCACTGAAGATGTTACCTAGCCAGGTAACAAAATGTTTGCAAGAAAAAAACCAAGCTCAGAGAACCCCAAGGACTCCATATGTCCACTCACCTAGGAAAAAGCCCTCTGAAAGCTACAGAGACTTGTTTCTATGAAGACATGCATATGATTGCATTATAAACATCTCACTATTAACCTCTAAAATTAAAGGCAGCATAAATAAAGATATAATCTATATCTACATCTACACAGCTATCTTATTAATGCATACCTTGCTGCTTACTGTCTCAAATAAAATATAAAGAATTAAAAGAATTAGTGTTATCATTAACGCAACTCAAAAGGCGAGGCTGATGAGGAGGTTCTTCACTGTTTTCCTAAGAGCAGGAAGGGTGGGCTAATCACAGTAAATAAGACAATGCACTCATTCGTTTGGAAGTGATGCATAAGATCTTCTCCCATCTGCTCAACAGTTTAAGCCTTTCAAAGCACAGCCATTCTAGGAAGACTTTTCTGTTGATATTAATGACCAAACAGATTCATACCAGAGTAAGTGGTACCTTAAATTATAAGATCATAATCATAAAGCCTTAAAGATTAAGGAAACATGCTGAACTGTCGGAAAACAACTGGCAACCAATACAGATCTTTCAACTTAAGGTCTGTATTTATATTCTCAGGACTGTTTGGCAGTTTTATTTTTCTATCATCCAAAACAAATTCTTTGGAAAGTCTTAAAATACTCTGGGAATAGGATCTGGAACTTAATAAATCTCAAAGGAACTTTTGAATTACTTTTATATCCACTACAGCAAATCATCAAGAACATCAAGATTACAGAAAAGATAATTCATCAATGCCATTATACTCCATTGAAATTACATTACATTAATTGCAATACTTCTAGATAATATTGGCAAAGACTTAAACAATTTTCACATATTTTCTTTTTTGACGGCAAGGTCCAGTTAGCCAAAGTTTTGATAAATCTGAGAAGATTTGCAAACAACGTTTTAAAGTAATACTAGGATAGAATTATTGTCTATCCTATTTTTATGTTACATACAATATAGAATTATGCATTAAAAAAAACCTGATTCAATTTCTATTCAATTTAGCTGTCAGATTTGTCACTGTAAAACAATGGAAAACAAAGACACAACTCATTGGATCAATGGTATCCCAAAGTGTAGGAAACTGCATTGAAAAAAAATTAATTTTCCAATTAAAAAAAAAAGTTTGCAAACTCTTCATTTTTCATGATAGATTGTCCCTGCTAGCAAAAATTTCATTTTAGAGAAAAATATTAAATGTTACTTTTTGTGTTGTCAATTTAAAAATTATGCTTTTAATTTTGGAGTACAGAATTTTTAAAACATTTATTTTTAAATAAATATGTAATTTATTTGTAACTGTCACAATGTAGTCACTTCCTATTTTGTCACTTCCTATTTTAAAATGTACCCTGCTTTCAAAATCTCTACTCCTGGTGTAACTTGGAAATGACAAAAAAATTAAACTAAAAATCAAGGTGTCAGGACAAATGAAACATAAACAGCAGGAAAAATAAAGCACTTAAGACAATAATTAAGCAACAAGCTTTGTTAGTAAAGCCATTGTACTTTGTAGCAGAATGAATTTAGCGGACATTTTGAAGTAGAAACAGATCAAGGTAATATTTAATATCTGAAAATGTCAGTAATACTTTTTAAAATATTGGTAGTATAAGATATACAGTTGCAAGAAAAAGTATGTGAGCCTTTTGGAATTTCATGGTGTTCTGCATTAATTTGTCATAAAATGT